CCCACAGAGCAGAACTTCTGTTTAGCAACCCCGCAGGGCAGGCTAGAACTGTGCTTGGGAGTCTCTGAGACTCTCACCACTACAGGATGTAGAAGCCCCATTAGCTCTTTATCCCCCAGAGTGCCTGGTGGTTTTGAACTGCTGTCTGGGGATTGCAGCCCAACTCATAACCACTACGCCACTGGGGCTTCAGAACTTCCACTACTTTGTTCAAATATTAAGTGGGACAAATAACTCAAAAGTTTTTGTGATCATTTGCCATGCCGCAAGTACTGAATTTCATAGGTTTATTCACTGGGACAGAAAGTTCTTGTGCTGTTCAGAAAGCATGTGACGATGAACCTCCAGGATACTGGTGCCAATCTAAAAGTGCCCCTAGAGAGAAAGGTGAGGCTTTCTGTGTCAGCCTCAGAGCCCCTGCATCGGGTCCCTAGATGGTGCAGAAGAGTAGAGAGCAGTGGGCTCATTTTGGGTGCAATCATTAAGACTAACAGCCACTTCGTGGCTTCTGACCTTTGACTCCTTTTCTGAAAATTTCAAGCTATGTGAAAATGGAGAGTGTTCCTAAAGAGACAAGGAAGACATGATTCTCAAGTCAATTTACCACTGATTCAAATGTTGACACAGGTTAATTTTATTACCTAGACAATTTATTGTAGGAGCAAACTTTAGGTTGCTGTTCTTAAAATTGTATCCTTCAGCAAATACTGGCAAGACTTCATCTGACATATGTTGGACACACAGTCAGGAGAGACCAGTCCCTGGAGAAGGGCATATGCTTGGAAACGCAGAGGGGCTACGAAAAAGAGGAAGGCAAGATGGATTGATGCAGAGGCTGCACCAATGGGCTCAGGCATGGGAACAGTTGTGAGGATGACACAGGGCTGGGCAGTGCTTTGTTCTGTTGTGCACTCATCGGACCTACCTCAGTGGTACCTAACAACAACAACAGACGTGAGGAATCCAGAGGACACAGTGGTTGAGTTGCTATCCGAAAGGCTATTGTTTTGAACCCACTGACCACCATGTAGGAGAGAGATGTAGCTGCCTGCGCTCACCAGGACTTAGAGTCCTCAAAGCTAATAGAGCCATCTTACTCTGCCCTACAAAGTCACTTTAAGTGGGAATCAACTTGATGGCATGGGATCTATACCTATCTATTTTGTTTTGTCATTTTGTTGTTATTTTCAGCAGAAGTAATGGAATCCTTTAGTTCCATACATTTACCCATACAATAGATTTTTACACCTGAGCAAAGAGTTTAATTAGCTGACACTGTCAAAAAAGAAAGAAGACCTTTCCTTATCCCTCACATATGTCCTAGAATCATAATTATAAGCACAAACTCATTTACTAAACACTTAATACATTTTAAGTTGTGTTAATAGTTATCAATTCATTAGACAGCAGTGGTGGACACATTAGACAGCATTCTTCCCTTCAAGAACGGACGATCTAAATTGGGAAAACAGCACAAATGAAGTTGGAGAATATAGGAATGGTAGCAAGAAAACTGAACCATACAGTATGTGCCATTTTCTTGTGTCCTCTAAAACAATTCAACTGAACTTATGTGGTTGAATTTTATTTAAGCAAATTTTCTGGTGTTAGATTTTAGGTGCTAGCCAACTTGCTTCGAATTTTATTATTTCAGAGTAAGGAGCCCTACCGACGCAATGGGCACTAACTGGACTGAGAACTGTAAGGTCAACAGTTCAAACCCACCAGTTACTTCTCATGAGAAAGATGAGGTTGCCTGCGCTCTTCAAGATGTTGTTTCAAAACTAGACATATGGTCACTAAAGAGTTGGAATCAACTAAATGACGTTAAGTTTTTGACCAATTTCAGAATATAAATGCAATATAATTGGATAAAAATGAATAATCTAAAGTTAGAAGATTGTACAGAATAAAGAAGCCCCCCAAATTATGAACAAAATGGAAATGTTTAAAGTGTTTCAAAATACAAAAGGCTTAAAGAAAACTAATAGGAGTGAAAACTATGTAATAGTGGCAGAGAGGGGATTCTTATTTGGCAGGTCATTTTATTTTTACCCAATTGTAATATTGGTCAAAGTACTTTCCAACAGTTGCTTTCAGACAATTTACTCTTATCTCTCGGGACAAAAGGTTAGAATCAGAGAGGATGCCGAGGAGATAAGCAGAAGTCAGACTGAATCCGTCGTGGTTGCAGTGCTATCTCACCCATCTGGACACGTGAAAGCACCAGACAGTTCTCCTGGAGTGGATTATCAGTGACCACGACAGCTGAATGTCACCGGGTTTTTGTTGTTGTTCTTTGCATGGCAGTCTAGGAAAAAAAATATATTTAATGAGTTACACATTATAAACATATTGCTAGCTTTCTAAAGATTGCTCATTGTACCTTAACCTTCAAAGACGCTCTGTGAAATAATTTACGATGCATCATAAGTCCCATCATTGCTGATAAGGAATAATTATTTTTAAAAATTCAAATAATGCTTCATTTTGGTTAAACTAAAAAACATAGTTTTCTTTCTTCCTGCTATGAAGAATCAAAAGACCATTGATTTTAAAGTCTGCATTTCCAATTCAATGGAATCTTATTCTAATGTGTTGTTGGATAACACATCACTTAATATTTAATTCTTTACATGGAGTTTTAAAAGAGAAAGCATATTTGCTATTTTTTACATTAGAGCTCCCAAATATATTGACCTTTTCACTTATGAGATGTATATATGTTAGAATCCTAATGAAATAAAATCATTTGGTTGATGCCTGAAAAATCATTACTTTCTGAGTTTTAGATGCATGAGAGGCATAAAGCTTACATGCTTTTTGAGTTAAAAAAAATAAAATAAAACGTATACCACTAGTCTGATAAACGATTTTGGAAAGTGTATCATGTAAGAAGAAGCTCAGGTGTTGCTGCTGGTAAGCATTGGATTGCTTAAACTTTATGATCAGTAAGATGAGACTCTGCCCCAGTGACGGTTTGTAGATTTGTAAGTCCGATAGGGTCACTGTGAATTGAAATCAACTCAGTGACATTATTATTTTTTCCTTATAAAACAAGCAAAAAAGTAATATATACATATTAGAAAAGAAAAAGTCTTTGTATACATGTAAATACGATGAATACACTTACAATGTTACTAAAGCCAGGTCTACTTTATGATCTTGGTAAGAAACTCCAGGCTCTATCCAGTTTCCCTGGTGATTAATGCAGCACCAGTGCATTTTCAGGTTGTTTTCTTAATTTGACTGGCCAGGAATCATTTTCCATGGTGAAAAACAGGTGTAAACATCAATACTCCAGATAAGAGAGAGCGAGCCCATGCTGCTTTCTGATGCCTCCAGTGTCGAGGATTCAGCGGGCAAAGCCGGCAGATTGAGTGAGGCTGTTTATCAGAAGTAAAGAACTAGAAGATTGTTGGTGTGACTCAAAGGCTTTCACTGAGCGAATGACAGGAAACCTTTTAATAGCAAATAATCTGTCAAACACTGTGAATATATAGGGCCTGTGTAGCAAACATGTGGAATCAAGCCCCAGCACAGTAATTATAGGTAATTTGTGAACTGTTTCCAATTTCCTCGCTGTGTAAATTATATGCCTACCTACTGGAGACAAGATTTGACTCTTTGAGAATCTTGCTGAGGTTCTCAAAGCTTGACACTGGCTCTATTGTTCCCTTGTTCTCTATGCTGCTCTTCATATTTTCAGCTGGTTCCGAGTGAAAGGAAAGTTTTGGCATGAAATGCTAAACTGTTCTTTCTCTTATTATTTTCTCTGTGTCTCTCTCTACTGTTAACTTTCAGCAACTTTGACTAATCATGGATTAGAAGTTGAATGTTATGGTTCAAGTCTATGTTCAGTAACCTTTCCTAGTTCTGCCATTTTAAAATAAATTGTAACCTTTCAGAATATTGGGTGTTGTGCTAGTTGACTCAATACTTGTTAAAGATTCCCAGGTACTGCAAAGTTATTAGAAGGCGTTACCAGCTAATAAGGGTAAGAATTACAAGACTCTAAATTGTGCATTAACATCATTTGTGAGAAATGGAGAAGCTAATAATAGTAATTGTAATAATAATGGGCTTCTTTTTTGTTTCTAAAAATTGCTTTCATTCTGTTTCCTATCATTAAGTTTTTTTCTAAAATAAAAAGAAAGGCATTTAACATTCATATACTCACTCATTGTTAACATCCCTGTCTGGTGGTGTTATTCGTGCTTATTTCTGTACATGTTTCTTGGTTCACTTCTCTGACAAAGCATGCTTTTTTCCGTTACTGCTGTTACCTTTTTGTGTTTTGCTACTGCATGTGAACTTTCTTAAATGGCTCAGTGAATAAATGGATTCTTGTCATTTTAAATTTCACTCTAAAGTATTGCAGTCTGCTTACTTGCAAGTATTGCTCCTACTTCTTTGTGTGGGAGCATAAAAAGGAAGTGAAAAAAATGACAGGAAATGGTGGTACAATGTTGTACCTGTTAATCCCTTAAGGCATTTAAAGATGAAATCTAAACAAATTACATGGTTTTATAATTTGAATCATTTGTGTTTTTCTTTTGTTTGCATGATATGATTTTGTTTTATATTTTGTTTTTTTCCACTCACCAGATGTTCCCAACACTTTGCTTTCCACCACTCTCATCCCCTCCCTTACCACTGCAACAGCCACCACCTCTGTAGCCATAACAACCAGCCCCACCACCTCTGCAGCATCCAGCAGCACAAGAGGTACAGTATGCTTCTTTGTTATGGCCTAGAAAACACATTATAGGAAGCTCTATAGGGACTTTCAGAAAAGGAAGAAAAATGGAAATCCAATTATTTAAGTACAAGACACAATTATGTCGCCTACATTATTACCAATTTAGAGTTACGGGAATAGAATCTGGGAAGATGTGCACATTTTATTTTTGTCCCTTAGTATTATTATCAAAAACAATTCCAGAGTATAGGAAAAATAGATGGGGCAGTGCAAGTTTGAGCAAATTCTGAATGTGAACATGGAACAGCTTTTGACAAGAGAACTTGACAAAATAGAAAGAATAACAAGTTTTAGGAGGGAGAGGTAACTTTCTATGGTGCTGAATTTGCTTTGTAATTTATTGAACCCTTTGGGTCATTATAAATTATGAATCATGTAAAAATTTCAGCTATATATAAATTTTATGATTCTAAAGTGATCCATTGAGTAAATCTACTTATTCTAAAACAGAGTGTTATAAAAGAGAATAATCTGGGGTTGGCCAGAAGGATAGGGATGACTGTTAATTTAGAAATTTGCATTTTTACGTTAAGGAGAGCAGTTTTGAATTAATTGAAGTTATCCTTAAGGAAATATAGATCATACATTGTAGTTGATGTATATAAAAAATATCCTAAATAATTGTTGAGGTTTTAGTAGATTTTGAAGTAGTAGAAAGAGTTCTTTAAAGCATTATAAAAAAACTTGCCCTGAACTTAATTTTAGCATAAGTAATGTTCACAGCATAATTTTTTATATTTAATTTGTCTTTTCCTTCTTATCTGTGCTTGTGTCACTTTTGTTATACTAATATGTGTCAAATTAACAATTTACCTTGAAAAATCATGGACATTTACTCAATATGCATTATTAATTTCTAGCAAAGTCACGTCTAACATTTCTTTTGCTATTAAAGATATCTTATTTTTTTTTATTTGAGAATTCTATTATTCCTGTCATTAAACTGAGTTGTAATTCATAAATGACTTTATTGTCTTTATAGTGTCTTTCTCAGGAGTTTGAAGAAAATGGTTCTGTTTTTTCATGACCAATAATTTTAAAAAAATTAAATCAATGACATATATTGTACAATGCACAAAATTGGTAACTAAAGAAATTTGCAGATATTAACAATAAGAATTTCACAAAAAATAATGAGGTTTACAATATAATGGCTGAACAAGCTTTATTTGAGTTAACTCTTCAAATATCTTACTCATATTGTTTATGTAAAATTTGAGGAAATGCATGATAAAAAAGTAAAATGAACAAACATTTTATGTGATATGAAATATAAAACATATGCAATTGTACTTTGCTTTCATGTATTATTATTTCCAAAGATTTTTAGGAACAGAATTCATATAAGGTAAGATTATTGCATGGTAACAAATCTTCAGAATAACATTAAATTCTGACTGTATAAACAAAGTATTTCACTGAAAAGGGAGGGAAATATATTGACCTCACACATGCACATAAATAAATGAATACTATGACCTGCATACTCAAAAGTCTAATAATTATATTTCCTTTGTCTTCAACAATATTTTTTATCAAGTACCTACAAATGCAATAAGCCCACTCTTTTAAGTTATGTGAATTTCACTTAGTCAACCAAAAACAATTACTTTTGAAAACAACACATATTTCTAAGAATTACTGTTTCCCAAAACCACCTATGTAATGTTTATTGATTAATATATATCTTACATATCTCTTTTGAAGCAGGATACCAATCCATATCCAACCACACCCATACCTACAACACACACAGCCACACATGCACAGAGAAAGAGAAAAGCAAACAGAGCGGGTGTAAGATGGGTGAGCGTGAGAAAGAGAAACTGTACTAACATTAAGAAGACGGTTTCATTTCAAAGCACAGTTAACAAAATTCTTTAGTCATTTCATGTGGACCATGTGGAATTAGTCCTATTACATTTCAACCTGCCTGATAAAACAGAATCAATTTTGTACTTTTCCAAGCTGTTAGTGAATTTTAAACCAAGGGCATTAAAGGTGTTTTCAAAATATCTCTTTCGATACAAATAAACATCAAAGACACAAACATGTACTTACCGTCCTCTTTATTACCTGAGATAGTATTTTAAAACTCTGCCAGGCTTTTCAGAAATAAAATGCTTTTTAAGTTAGATAATTCATATAATCTATTTGATAAGGAACTGAAAGCAGGGCAGATATTAAGTGTTAGCCTAATATACAATATTATTCCTGTTTTCAGCAAACAACTGTGGAAAAGTCCTCAAACTCACTGTCATTAAAGCTCTTTAAATTCCATATTCCATATTTGGAGGGGAGATCCACTTAGTTTTCTAACATTGTTATGATTTACACTTAATCTTTTTTAAATTATGTGATATTCATTTACTAATAAACTAGAAATTCCAGACGAAATTGTATTTGAACAGAATTAATTTATTTATAATTAGTGAAGATGTTTCAAAATTATGGCTTAAAAAGGAAAGTACTAAGAATATACTTCTAAGAAAACAGAACTAAAGAAATGCTTGTTCGTCAGCAATAGTTCTTTGTGGGCATTTTTTTTCCCTCTCCCTCAAGCATTGACTGGCATAAAGTAAATGCATTTGGTTTTATTAGGTTTAAATGACATGTGTTTGAATGTCATCTATAGCATGTATGTATATCTACCAAATAAATTAATACAAATTAATTACTATTAATATACTCATTTACACAATTTTACCAGTCACATTAGTGCGACATTTCCTATGCCAATTAAGATACACATCAATTTAAAATAAGTTTACAGAATCCAACCATTGTCTATATTGTATATCAAGAGAAAATGGAATAAAAAATGGTAAAAGTGTACTTAAAGCTTATAACCTTGAGAAACTGCAGTTCTCTTCAGTTTGTCTCTAAAATGCATCCCTGTATCTGAGAGCAGATTTTCAACAATATGGAAGAAAAACAGCAATTTAGCAGTATTTAGCAGTATTTGGGTTTCTAGAGGAGGAGCCACAGTGACCAAGTGTCTAAGTGCTAATAAATACAAGAATGGGTGTTTTAAGCCCCCAAGGATCCACCTAAGGATGGTGTGGAATTCTTCCATTCAGATTTGCAGCCTGGGAAACCAGTCTTTCCACTCCATTCATGGGGCTGATCAAAGTAGGAGTTGACGATGTGGCAGGGAGCTTTCATTGTTCAAATTAAAAGGCTGCTTTAGGCAAAATGAAGGATAAGTGAGCACTAGAGACATCTTTGACTATAAATGGTGATTCCTCTATTTACAAGAGTTTTGAGATTTTATCTTGGCCAATGAACCAAAATGAACCTTGGTTTTATTCATCAGAAAAAAATGAAAAATAATAAAAGGACTTAATCCTCACTCTTGAGAATTGAATAATTTCAAAAATTTTGAAAACATAATCACTACTCAGTGAATGGCAGAATTATCGATCAGTTCATGTTAGTAAAGCATGAGTTTGAATCTTTTAGCTTATAATACATTAAGTTGTATCTCTGTTATCTTACAATAAATTTATCATATTTTAATTTATATAATTAGAGCTTTAAAATGGCAAAATTATTGGCTGATTGCTTATTAATTTCAAACTTCAATTGATTGTAAGAACCCTAGTGATGTAGTGGTTACTTGTTGGCTGCTAACTATGAAGTCAGCAGTTTGAAACCTTGGGAGAAAGGAAAAAATTTAGAAGGAAGTGATACTAGAGCATAGAAAAATGCACATACCTTCTCTGAATGCATATCCTCATGCCTACATATACATGTGCATGTGCAACCATTGCCTGACATATCACAATATGTCAAATACTCTTCATGAAGCTCGTAGTATTCATGATGTGATATCTTCTGTATCTAAAATCGTAAACTTTTATAGCTACCTTAATATTTTTCCATTATGAAAGATCATTGTCAAAACAATTGTAACTATTGCTTTTGGAAATTGCCAGTTTTATCTACTGGTCCAATTAAACCTGTGATTCATAAGGGCCTCTGTAAGACTTGTGTTTAATGTTTTTATTATTCTTTTTGTAAGTCACTGTGTAACAATTTTAAACATGATCAATGATAAAATAGTTTGGAATGATCTGAGTACTGGTTTCAAAACTAGCATCATTTTGACATGGCTTGCCTGATTCAAAAGGCCTTTCTTTTTAATTTCATAATAAAACCATTTTATGTTCTAAAAATATAAGCACCTTAATTTTATAGTTGAGAGTATTAAGATGTTGGACATTCAACAGACATAAGAGAGGATGAGTTAAAAAGTACTGCCCCTGTGTTTGCAATTAATACATGCATGAGTCAATTGCAAACAAAACATGTCTGGGATTAATGAAAGGCTGCAGACAAGTTCTCTCAGTCATGTACCTGTCTTAGTCTTATTAGGGCACCCTAAAAAAAAAGTCCAATTAAAGAGTAGCTTCCCAGGAGGGAATTATCTCAGAAAGTTAAGCTGATGTTTTCTGGGCATTCAAAGGGTAATCTTGATAGATTTTCTTGAAGGATTCAAGAAGACAACCACAGCTTATTGGGGAAAAAAGTTTGAAAAAAGTGGTAAACCACATTAGTTAAAAAAAAAAGGACAAGAGAATTTGTGCTATTTTTTCCCTCCATCACAGCATACTTACTTATCCTTCTAGGGTGACAAGGACTATTCTATGATGATTTTATTGGGAAAACTCCATCCACCCTATAGCTCTGATCTTGCTCCTTCTTTCTGTTGCCCAAACTCAAGTAATATTTTTTTAAAAAACTCATGATTTGAGTAATTCAAGGATGTCAAAAGTACTGTTTTGACAATATAAATTGAGGAGCACAAAATTTGAAGGGGATGGGGGGTTAGAAAAATGGAAATGCCGCCTTTAGAAGTCTACAGATCTTATACTTCCCAGGCAGGGGAGATACCATGATCACGAAGGTGGTTTTCCCAGGGCAAGGCTCATCCATTGCACTCTGGATGTGCTGACCCCTGTGA